ATTATTAATTATTTTGATTCATCTGGGATCATTCAAGAGACAGTGATCATTTATGCGATCGACTACTCAATATTTCTATACAATGTTGACTTTTTCAAGGACAATAACTTAATAGTCTTTCACTCGTTAACATTGTATTGTCGTATTGATAAATGATGTTAGTTAACCATTTTGTTGTTAAAATAGTGTGAAATATACATGTTTTGAACAAGTGCAGGGTGCACTGACATTATATAGCGAGCGATGCACAGTGATAAAACCACATGCTTTAATTATTCTCTAAGCTATTACGTAAGGCTTTGACCCGTAAGCACGGATCTTCATCACTGCAAATACGATAAAAGTAGATTTCAATCGACACGTACTTTTATACCGAAATACGTTTATTTTTATCTTTTGGAGTACAATATGACGCGCAATTGAAAGTTAATACTAATCTTATAGTTTTCACTTTTGCACAAGCAAATTCGAAGTTCCAATGAATGTCTTGCGAAATAAATAAACACCGTGTTCTCCACAAACGAAAACAATTATACGCTGTCGCTTTGCTGCGTAAACCTGCAAAGAACTTATATATACTGATAAACGCCGAGATTATTGAATTGTGTTACCAATTAAGTGTTTTGTCACTCATTAGTATTAGTTGCATGCATGAATAACACTGTAGTGTAGACTGTAAAGTGTAATACAATAAGTAGGATTTTGTATTATCATCAAAAGATGAGTGTTAAATGATTCAACACACGTTGCATGTTAAAAGAACGAGACTTCAGTATTGGAAAGTTCCCCCTATAAATATTTCCTCATAAAGATAATTAAGAATTTTCTCATAGACATAGTGAAACAAGATGCCATTATTATTACATTATTATATACATCCATAATTAAATGTCTGGGTGATCATAATTTCAATGCATAAACCATGCAAAGCAATCCATTAAATTTTACCAAACGGTATGTCTGACAGTCACATCATTATGCAGAATTATCAAATTTCCACAGTGCATTTTTTAAGGATTCTTCAGTGATGGGGCAAAACTGCCAAAGGACCCATTTTCCTTGCCCTCCCCCAGTATAGTATGCGGTCGCCGAAGGTGTGAGCAGAGTACCGCAGGCACGAGTTAGCTAGGAAATTAGAAAAACCTCCCCCCAGGAAATTTTTAAAATTTTGGTCTCTGAAATAGCATTTCCTGCATTCTGAGAACACATTTAAAAAAAATCTCAGCTTCTCAAAACAAAGTTTTAATGGTGAAATTTGTAATAAATTGCATGCTAAACATTCAAACATAACATCAGTTTAAGTATGCTCACCAACAAATTTTGTTTTTAACTTCTTTTCAATGTTAAACTCATTTACTCAATACAGGTCCTAGGGCCCTGGCTTTGGGGCAATAGGCCATTTTTTTCTTCAGTGGTGGGGCACAGGAAGGGGCCCAGTGGGGCAAATGCCACACCAGTCCATGGTATTAAAAATGCCTTGAATTTCCAACTGATTTACAAGATGGTTGTTAAGCTGGAGTTCCACTTACAGAGAAATTGTGACGTCTACATAGATCATTTCCAGTGGTGCCTAAATTATTTTGAATTTATACTAAACTGTAAAAGTAGAAGTATAATTAACGGTAAAACGACTTGAGTAAGGCTAAGAGTAAAAAATACTGGAGGTAAAGCGTACTTAAGTAAAAAGTACAAAGCTAAGTATCCTTAAAAAATACTTGAAGTAAAAAGTAAAAGTACTATTGTCTGTAGCTAGCGTGTATAGAGGGGGGAGGGGACTTCTCCATTGGATTGACATACAAAAGACACAAAACAACAGACGCATTATATGCGTGCACCTAATAATATGCAATATTTCACGGAATGGTCTGCTTTCCAGACCCCTTGAAGATATAAGAAATCCATTAAATAAATAATGCTTATTATAAGTAAGCCACAAACGAGAGATGGCCAGACGCATGTAGAGGTCCTCTTACCTATCCCAAAATTAAAATAAATCAGGAATAAATCATGTAAAATTAAACAAAAGGTAGAAAGTAACGAAATACTTTGCCACAAAATGAAAATAACGAAGTAAAACGTTACTTCTTAAAACGCGGACTTCGTTCCAAGTAAAAGTACTCCAGAAAAAGTTTACTTTGTTACATGCTAATATATATACTCAAGTATAGTAACGAAGTACATTTAGTTCGTTACTTGACACCACTGATCATTTCTACTTGACCGCTCATAATTGAGAAGAAACTGAGCGAAAAAATTCTACAGCAAAACATTTCTTGCAAGTGGAAATCCAACTTTTCTCGCAGTTTAATTCCCTTATAACAATCAGTGGCACCTGTCAGTTTAATTAACAGTCTATGTTCTATATGCTATGTTCAGGGTTGTGCTGTCTGTGCAAGAGAATTGCGACAAGTTTCAACCGCTCATTTAGTATTATGTATGCTTGACAGTTCTGTAATATTTATTCTGTAATGTTACTTTGTGGGTTCTTAATTTTCAAATTAGGCATACATTCAAATGATTGTCACGGAGGCATTAAATCGTGGATGAATCAAATCTTAACACATCGATCAAAGCCAGGTGTCATTATGAGGATACTAATACTAATACTAATAGCCAGAAGATAAGATCTGCATTGATGGATTACAGCGTTTACATTGTTAAACGGTGAGATTCAGCTTACCACTTTTTTGTTTCCGGTGCAAAAGTCATGATTATACTCAACACAGTAATCGTTATTGCTTTACCATTATAAGGTTTGCAAAATTTATTTCTGTAGTCCTTCCGTAGTCCTTCACCTTCCTCCATTTTTTGGCCTGCGTGCTTAAAATTATATGATTATTTTGGCCGTAGACAGGCTATAGGGAATACTATTTGGTGTGTAATTAGTATGTACTGTGGAATCGAGGATGGGCGCGGCCGGGCTTATAAATGGCGCCTGACCGCGTTCTCTACATAACAGCATCTCTTTTTTATTATTATCGTCGAACTTGACTTGGTCAAGTCGAGATAGCAAATTAAACCAGGTTAATCAATGCCACAGTTTTTAAAGGTTTTTAATGCTTTTCCGGATCATTTTACTCGACCCATTCATTTCTCAAATAAATATAGGCACTACAGCAACCGATTTTCATTTCTCCACGAACTGAAGCAAAAGATATATTGCAAGCTGCATGAAAGGGCAGTATTTCAGTTAAATAAGCGTCTCTCTTACGTACGTATACGCACGTAAATATTTAAACCCAATCATATATAATTTACTTTTGGGAGTAACTAATGAATAAAAGAACAGTATTAGTTTTGTGTATGATTTAATGTGTGTTTGCTGAGGGTATGTAGTACATATATAAAATTTAGAAAGATTTAAACTTTTCCGTAATACTGTACGCTTAACTGGAATGCTGCCTACCGCATACCAGAGGAAAGTATAGACAGTGGGAACCAGCTTAATCCTTGGTTAATTTAAGTTATATCTACAAAACACATAAAAAAGTTGTTTAAATAGGTTAAACAGGTTAACCCCAGTATAGTTATTTTAACCACCACCAGTCTACCCGAGGTGGCAATCTTAGTACCCCTTCAGTGAACGTGTTGACTGATATATATTGGATTGTGAAGTACTTTGTTTTCGTGCATTCAACATTATATTTTCATATATACTGCATGGAATGGTGCTCTAAGCTCATTAGCATGCATAATATGGAAAATATTTAAAAGAATAATATTTTTAATTTCCTAGTTAAGTCATGTTTGTTGCATGCAGGTGTGAAACATAGTTAAAATTAGTTTGGCTTACAGATCTTCTCTCTTAATATACGCATTGGTATAGAAACTCATTAATGGCTGCAAAAATATATAATTATATCTGTAGTGTACTATAGGGTATGCATTTTATTCCCTGGTATAAACCTATAACCTTGAAACTAAAGACGGTAAAATAAAAAACTCAAAATTATCCGACCGCGCAAATGAGCTCTAATTACCATCCTACGTTCCTGAATAAGTTAGGTAGTAGGGAAAAAACTCAAACAATCCATTCCTAACTTGTTGACAAACCACTAGCCTAGTTTAAACAAACCCATAATAATTTGAGTGGCACTTAGTGTACATGCAGTAGCTGCAAGGCATTGCTTTGACAAACATTATTTTTATTTTTGTAGTGTTTTAGATATGTCAACAAATAGAAAAACAGACCTAATCTCATTTACGACTACTGTGTTATCAGTTCAAATAGTCCTCAAAATTCGAAATCAGTCAAATTTCAATTTCATTTGAAGGAGCTTTTGTTATTATTATAGGCGAAATTAAAGCTCGCCGAGAGTCTTTATATACCTGTCAGTTGATGAGTATATAGCTCTATAATCTCTGTGATCATCTGTGATACAGTTACGTCCTTCGAAATTTCAATGCTAACAGGTTCCTTCGAATTCTCGATTATTTTTAAGAGGACTGCATGCTATTTTAATTACCTATACGGTTCCCGCATTCATAGTTATATGATTGCATCATCCCAACCAAGCGGTATATATAATTATAGCATATGACAATTATGCACTTTTATAATTATGTTGGAATGAAAAATCTCTGGGAACCTCAGAAAGGGTTAAACAAACCATATGAAACTGAACACGATCGACCAATCAAATTGAAGGATTCTCAATTACTCGCATTTATGTTTTTAATCACAACTTAATGAATATACTCAAACAGTAAGAACAGGGTGTAGTTAGTTGAGAAGTATGTGTTCTAGAAACTTATACAAAAACAAAAATGTAATGCAACAGGTTGTATCTATAGGCAGCCAAATATCTAATGCTGAATGTGTATTCTAAAAACATGGAGAGCTAGATCAATCTTAAAAATTCCTATATATGGTGCTAAAATCTGTAGCAAATAATCTGACACTTGTCCAGTGTATGATAAGAATGCGCCCTAAATATAAATTATAGTGTACCAATAATTTATTCATGCACAAACTGGATATTTTTTCTTGATGATTATTTATGACCTTCTTCACAGGGCTGATTGAAGGGGACATAGTCAACGACGAACAATTTAAAATTCTTACAGGACGGATAGCTAATCCTAGAGGACGTCGAGACACGCTATCTGATCGGAATTTTCACTGGGAAAATGCTGTGGTTCCTTATGAAATAGCCAATGATATGTGTAAGTAATAGCATTTCTTAAATTAAACAGCGCGCGGTATACAAAATTAAAATCAACTCCCAGAGAGGATGCAATCGTGGGTAAAATATGACAACTGGTTCTGAACTTTTCAGTAACATTGGCTCTAGACACTATAAATCTTGCATTAACGCTGAGAGAAAAGCCCTTGTAACTACATATGGAATATTTTCGTCTATTAATACACCTCCATGAGAGGGGAAATTGCGCTTAATCCAGAGAAGTGGTCACCACTTCCTCCGGCGCCAGTGGCCATGTATTGAAACAATTTGCTATTTGGCAAATCCCGAATCTTTTAAAACTGAGACTATCTGCATACGCGAGTGTAAAATGAAAAACCACTTTGTGGATTTTTTACCCTTTTATCTGCCTCGTCCCCATGAGGCGCTATATATAATAAGATTTCACATACGAATCTCTATATAAAAGCTTTACATGAAGTAGTGCGTCATTATAGGCGCGCAAGGGAGGATGGGATAAACCCCTGCACAACCAGTGAACTCTAATAAGACTTATTTAAGCTAGGCGGGATGAAGTGTTTAGTATGGGATTTTCATTTTTCATTGCAGTCGCTTTGCCCGAGCGGGCGGAGGGAACATTACTCAACTTTCTCTGTATTTATCTATCCTGTGCATTTTTTGTCCGCCATGCTCGCGGACACGCCATGAAAGCTAGAACTACACACGTAAAAACGCACAAGTTGTTACAACAAGTTGTACTCGCACTGTTTGTTCCCAGTTTGTTGTAACAGGTTTGAAACAAGCTGTTAACAACTTGTAACAAGCTTGATGGCATTATCAGCCTAATGTTACAAGATTGTGCCAACAAGTTTGTTACAGCCATGATATAACAAGGATGTTACAAGGTTGTCAACACAAGGTTGTAACAATCTTGTTATATCAAGCATGTCACAGACTTGTAACAAACTTGTGCGTTTTTACGTGTGTACATTCAACTTTCTTGACGTGCCCGCGCGACTGATTTTTCACGTGATTAAAATTGGTCGCTCCACCCGCGCGGGTAAAGCGACCGCAATGGAAAATTGCCTTTAGGCGGGATCCTGGCATCTGTTACCGAGATTCCGTCTAGGCGGGATAAGTGGCGGGTCATATATAAACACTCTTTAGAATTTTTATTACGAGCGGGATCTCGGTAAGCATGTCCCACCTGGCCGGGATCACATAAACAGGCCCTCAGAGTTGCGAACTCTCAAGACTGACTTGAAAAATACTACTTGTGAGTTTTAATTAAAAAAGTTAAAAAAAAAAACATGTCGTGGGTGAACAGTGGATAACATCACAGGGATTCTACCGCCTTTGGAGCCTCTGACATGCGATAGCCAGTGGTGTTCCCTGGCAAAATTGTTGCCCCCCCTGTGAAAATCTGGGCTTAAGATAATTATCCATGACTGAAAACGCAGGAAATAGCATTTCCGAGGTTCAAATTTTAAAATTTTCTCGGGGGAGCATGCCCCCGAACCCCCCCAAGGTTACAGGTCATTCATATACTGTACCCTCCCCCATTTTCGAGTACTCTACTCTATACCTGCATGTTTTAGGTTTTGGTGCAGTTATACATTCTTTGTAAATAAACTTGCACGCTTTAGTGTGGGGAACATCAAGACATAACCATATAAAATAAAGCACAGTGAAAATTCCTTGGCCCCTCTTGGGATTCAGTTCTCGGCCTCCTCTGACTGAAAACCCCTGCTACGTCTCCGATGATAGCTATATGAAAGCCTAAAGTTACTGTAAGCCGTTATTATGAGAGGCAAAAAAATATCCTGCGGCCAAATATATTGGGAAAAAATATCTTGCGCTGCACTTTTACAGGAAAAAAATATCTGTCTCGTTCGCCTGGGCGGAAAAAAAATTCTTGCACAGACTGAATCTTCCCCCCCCCCCCCCCTCAAAAATCAAATGGTCCGCCCCGTGGAACGCACGATATACTAAAACCATTTGGTCTTCATTTTCTAGCAATTAGAGGACGTAAGGTTATCCGCCGAGCTTTCAGAGAGATTGCTAAACGATCGTGTGTATCATTCATGCCAAGACAAGCCTACCACAATGATTATATTTCGTTTATCAGTGGAAAAGGGTAAGCATGTTATGTTAATATAGTATTGGAAGCAAAATTTATCTTGTTTAAACTAATTAATATGTATCATGCAGGTATTAAACCGTCAAACTGACGATCATAAACTACAAACCATCAAAATTACCATCGACAAATGGAATTTTCTGAACAAATTTTATATATTCGACCCAATTTCCCAAATCCCTGTACCAATACTCAATAGTGGGAATTTCATGCTAGCACGTACTTACCAAGCCAATTAATTAATCCACCTTGAGTGACCGTTTTGAGAATTTGCCAGGCAGGCTTCAAATGCTAGAAAGAACCTTTATTATCTCTATCTATTGCACCTTTATTATGTTAAAAACAAAATCTGTAGTATATACGTTGACGACACATGACAGTCAGATCTTCCGTCGATGATTGTGAATACGTTCACTTGTTATTGAAATCTAACTTGCCAAAGCAATAATGTGTTTCATTGATATTTTTAAAACAACACACAAACAGAAATAAACTTATATTAAACTATGTTTCAGGGCCGTAGGAAGCTCTTTTCGATTGGGGGGGCTGAAAGCGAGGGCCGAAGGCCCGAGGAAATTTTTAAATTTAAAGTCTCTAAAATGCCATTTCCTGGACTTTGGGGGAAGATTTAACAGAATTCTGATAGTCAGAAAACAGCGTTTTAGTATGTCGAAATTTACAGGAAAGTATGGGCCAGACTGTAGTATTATAAATGCGCGGCGGTAATTTTCGTCGTAAATGGCAGTTGCGCGGAAATGAAGGCAGAACATTTGAGAAAATTTCGAAAATCTGGAGTCTCTAGATGGTCTGAAATGGCATTTTCAGAGTTTTCTTTCGCAAGACCCAACACGCAAAAGACAAAATAAATCATTAGTTTATCAAAAATGTGCAGATTTTGTGGGATTTTCTTGAAAATGCGCGACAGAAATTCAGCTAAAATTTCTACGCGAGGAACGATCTGGAGTATGAGTAATATCTTCATTCTTCGCAGTTTGTCACAGATTAAATGATAAAGTTTGCATGATTTTGAAAAAAGAATGATTATTAGCAAATTATTGGGGGGGGGGCTGCAGCCTCCCCAGCCCCCCCGGTTGCTACGGCCCTGTGTTTGAATCACTAAATATAACTCAGTTTGAATAATAATTAGCACGGAATCAGTGTGAAACTAATGGGTACGAACAATTAACAAACAACTATAGTGAGAGCCCGATTTTCGTTCGTGTTTCCCAGAGCCTCAGCCAGCCTCCACAGAGGATTGCAAGCTCAGGGTTCGATGACTTCAGCTTATTTGGATGTATAATTTTACAGATACCACTCATGTTCTATATATTGCCCATTTACGGTTACATTTGTTGGAAACAATGGCCAACGATGGGTGACTAGAGATTATTGAGAGTTAAACTGTTGGACACTAAAACAACTTGCTGCATGCATATACTCTCTTTCTCTATTTTCTTTCATATACTCTATTTTCTTTCATATAGATGCTATTCGTCAATCGGCCGCGTTGGAGGTCGTCAAGTTGTCTCATTACATGATGATTGTAAATATCGAGGGAAAGTAATACATGAGATTCTTCATGCTCTTGGTTTCTTTCATGAACATTCTCGCAGTGATAGAAATCAATATATAAAAGTTATATGGAAAAATATCAAGAAAGGTAACAATTGAAATATATTTGATTTATCCTACACCCTTAATGCGCATGCAACTGTACAAAACCTAATGCGGGAGTCCGTTAAACGTCGTTTGCCGATTCTCGATCGACTTATTGTATAAATTGCTAAATAATTTTCGCGTAACAGTTAATCGTTTCATATTTCGAAATTTTATTGTGTTGATGATTTGAAAGAAAACTATTGATGTCACGGGAACAAACGCCCTAACATGAAATTCAATATTTCTTTAGTCGTCTAATATAGTCGTGTCTAGCATAATCAAGTCTAGTGACTAGTGTCTATAGTTTATAGTCTAGTATATGAATCGTACCCAGTCGCTCATCCGGCGTTGAATGATGGGAATCATACATCAGGTCTGCGAACATTCCCATAGCCTTTACGTCCTATATATAGTTCTAACCTGCAAGCGCCTGCATGTTTTGCACGACACATGCAGGATCTTAATTTAAGGGGCTTCGGAAGAGTCAGGTCGAGTGTATACTCAAATGACCCAAATTTGAATTTTAAGAAACAACAGCTGCTGGGGTATATAGTTAGGTGTGCATTAAAATTACTCTGTGCCAACTTTTATAATATGGGATTTCGAGCCTTTAGTAATTATATCATGCATGGCCCAGCTCAACTTGATTCACCACTGGTGCCAGCAAAGTGCACTGCCTACTGGGGTAAAAGCTCCCCATGCTCTGCGTGCATAATGGTTTGTCTGAAACAGCCAATTGCAAATTGCAATCTACTTTAAACAAGTACCTTGACGCCATCTCGCTCAGAAATACAGTACAAAGCACGTGAACAAATCCTGTTCGAATTATTCCGGGAAAACATTGTGAATTTCATTTTACAGTACAACGTAAACAACCCTGCATTCTCGTTGCTGGAGGACGTTTTAACTTAGAAACAATGAAGTTCGCCCTCAGTAACGCCAACTTTCATCCAATAAACATCAAGTTTGAAACAATGAACAAATGTTTAATATACGCACGTCTCACGGTCAATTGCATTTGACTGTAAATTATATCCAATATAACACTGATCTGTTCCTCGAGCAAAATTACCGACCACATCCAATAACATATATGTTCATAAACACTGCTCTAATTTCTTTACCCCATCTACTTCAAGGAATGCGAAGAAACTTTGTGAGTTACAGACATGGTCCTATTGACACATTGGACGAGCCTTATGATTTCCTTTCCATTATGCACTACGACAATAAAGCATTCACAAAGAACGGAAGAGATACACTACAGTCACTTACAAATCCCAAAATGAAACTAGGTCAAATAAAAAGATTAACAAAAACAGATGTCAACCAAATAAACAAGTTATATCACTGCAATGGACACAATGAGGGAAGAACAATAGGTATTAAACAATATAAGTTCTTTGTAGATTTGCATGGCGATAAACATATACGGCTATTGTTTGTGGAAACACCAAGTAAAAATAATAAATTTACGTGGTATTTTCACAAACAGTAGTATTATATGTCAATACAATAGTATTATTTGTATGTCTATCGTGGTCTTTAGTAATAAATTTACGTGGTGTTTCCACAAACAATAGTATTATATGTATATATATATATATATATGAAAAAGTGAAAGGGAATTAAAGTGTAAAATTTATCGACTAAAAAGTGTATTTTTCAACAACATTTTGTAAAAAGGGACTGGCACTTATACCTACAAAGCACGGCTTCAATCCCCCCTGACTTATCATTCCAGTTTACCTATATTTCAATGGTTGCGCCTCACTTGAATGTCTCTAATTGGACCCCCCAATAAAGTGTATTTTTCAACAAAATTTTGTAAAAAGGGACTGGCACTTATACCTACAAAGCACGGCTTCAATCCCCACTGACTTATCATTCCAGTTTACCTATAGTTCAATGGTTGCGCCTCACTTGAATGTCTCTAATTGGACCCCCAATAAAGTGTATTTTTTTATTTCTAGTTAAATGTGCGGATTTCAAGAACAATTGTAAGTTGCGAACCTCAAAAACGAACGTCTGTGAAGTAAAATACAAGTTGATGAAAGAAAACTGTGCAAAATCGTGTGCATTCTGTGGGTAGAAGGTACAAAAAAGATCATTTTCTTATTTCATGGCCTACATCCATACCAATTTTCGGATTGGTCCTCTGTAAATACAGTCACCGATGACGTGGGCAATCTAATTTCATATTTCATAACTATAATTCACGGAAAACGCGTAATATTAAAGGAACACTATATTAGCGAATAAATAAAATAATCTTAATACGTACACGAGAAGAATTTCATGCACTGAGTGACTGCAAAAACTTGTCTCCCTTCTATTTAATTAAGCCACCTACATATTGACCTTATTGTCAAGTTATCAATACTCGTAACCATGGAGAGATGATGCAAATTTGGGCTTGGTCATGCACTTGAAATGGCATTAGCATCCGCCAGAATAAATTCTCTATTCTGTGTCTTTGGTGACAATTCTTAGTTTTATTTCGTGCACTCCCTCCACTAATATAACTCATTGCCAGTGGTTAAGGTTGGTTTACACTAAAAAAATTGTGTAATCACGGCGACGTAATCCAACGTACTTTAGCTGAAGCACTGTATGCCGTACAAATTGATCAAAGCATACTTTTGTGAAAGGACCTTCTGTTGTACTTAAATGTGTTGATGCACTGATGCGATTTCAGGGGCGTCGGAGCGGCTCTAAAAAGTGTGTGTGTGGGGGGGGGGCACACTTAACGCCCGCCGAAGGCGGTGACATTGGGGGGGGGGCTCCGGGGAAAAAATTTAAAACAAGAGTCTATGAAATGCAATTTCCGGCACTTTAGAAGAAGATTTACAGAGTTCCAAAGGTAACAAAATGTCATAAAATATCTCAAATTGTTTTGTCTACACGCATAACTGAAATAATTATTATTTAACATTTAACAATTAACTTTGTGGCTTATTATTGACCATTGTTAAAACGTGTGTGTGTGGGGGGGGAACAAGATTTAGGCCTTCCCAACTAAAAAACCGACCCCCCTGTGCGATTTTATCCCACTCTGAGTCTTTGATATTTGGATGCACCGTGTCGAAATTTGGAAGAGCCTAAATTTTCAAGTTGACAAGATTACACACATGCAATTTTATATCTGTTTGATATTTAGGTAAACGAAGCGAAATCAAGCTTAAAACGTGACAGATGAGACAAAGAGAGCATTCGGGACTGCTGTTGTATGGAATATAAATGTGAGACAAACAACAGACTGATAGTCTGACAATAAGTTAACGCCAATTATAACCATATAATTTATCGATCATATTGTATGTAGTCGACTATACACAAGATGTACATTTATAGTATGAAATTTACCATAGTAATAAATTTGAGAAGTACTCAAAAATCTGAGAAATTTGCTTTGATTTGTAGAATTATAATTGCTCTGTTATTTGCTTTGATTTATAGAAATATAGAGGTCATTCAGGCTGATTTCAGAGGCGGTGCCAACAGTTTGTTGGTTTTTTTTGGGGGGCTGGGCGGCTAAATTCTACAAATTGTCCAACATATAAAACATTTTCAGGGTGGCCAAAAAGTTTCCGGACCTAACATATTTTCTACTTGATATTTTTAACACGCGTACCGGTTTCCTTTCATCTCGATCTTTCCTGCAGATATTTTTTCTAAACTGGAGTTGCTCAATTTTTATATATAAACTTCAAAATTTGGAATCTTATCCATTTTTTTTTTTGGGGGGGGGGGAGGTGCACGCCACCACTGCTGTCAATATTTCTCGTTTAAACCTTCGCTGCTTCTACGATCGTTATTATGCCCATGCATATAAAGCTTGTTACTCAAGAATGCTGACGAATGAAGTGGAAAGTGAATGCACAAAGCCATGGAGATATACGGTCGTTTCAAGTAGGTAGGTAGGTAGGTAAACTTTATTTAAAACCACACGCTAGCCTCGTCAACTTTCGCTGATTTCCACGAGGGGCGTGTTCATTACATCAATATAAAAATATTTACAAAATTTTTTACAAAAACCATAGTCACAAAAATCAACTTATTAGTATGGCTATAATAACTATATTTACAATAAATTATGAGAAATTGTGCGCAGTAATTCCATTTCTAAATATCAGCAATGAATTCGAATCACACAAATCTGGGGGTAAGGAATTCCACAATTTCGACCCATCATAAGAAAAACTTTTAAAGTCACTACTTATCTTTTATAAAATAAAATTAATTTGTCGGAAATTGCACAACACAACCAACAGAAAAAACTTAGACTTTAAAGAGTTTAAGGGAAGAAGAACAATTTCGCGATTTCATTGCTGCAGGAAAGAACAGTATGCCAGACGCGGCATTTATGCATTTCAGTCGCTTGCAAGGTCTATATAGACTTGCTAATTGTCAATGCCGTAGCTTAATTGGACCTTTTGATAGAATTTCAAAAGTGTGTTCCGTCATATATAAAACTATTTTTCATATTGTTAGTACGTGGTTTTGGTAAACTAAGACCACTTGAAATGCCCCAAAGACTGTAGTTTATTTTCCCAATTTTGTATGAAAAAAGATTAGTGAGTGATTTGGGAATATTATTTAATAGTTTCAGTATGAGCTCCACCTTTGAATTTACTATATGAGTAAATTCTTAAACACGTCCGAATTTATCATTATGATAAATTCGCGGCACATTTTGAATTTATCATAATGATAAATTTGCGATACCTAACCCCTAACACTAACCCTAACCCTAACCCAAGCCCAACCCCCAACCATTAACCACTAACCCTAACCTATCTGCTTTTTAAATTTTTTTAAAACCTTTTTTTTGAAAATCTTAAAAATAACTCAATCTTACTTAAGACTAAGTTTATTGGCGATTAACCATGCATTTTCTGAGGTTTTCTAAATCAGAATTTACTGTGTCGTCCGTCCTAAGTGTCGACAGCTAATAACCGAGGTTGTGTTTTATTTTAACATTGAGGTAAATCATTAATATATAAGAAAAACAATAGTGGCCCTTAGAGTCCTAATTGTGGTGCGCCACATTTAATCAAATCGAAAGATTTGACTTAAACAAATCATCTCAAACAACTTGTCACTAAAACAAGGGATTCTGTTAACCTGACAAATCGGTCTAGGTAATTTGAATTGTCTCAGTTGCCTATAAAATTGCATCCTCCGATCATTTTACAATATTGGCGAAACCACATCTAGGATCAAAGAAGAATCGAGTGACTAAAAAAATTACATCTCGTAATATAAGGGATAGTGCCTGCATGGCGTGCGTTTTGTCGCTGGAAGGATTGGAATTCAGAAGGATTGGAACTCAGAAGGATTGGAACTCAGAAGGATTGGAACCCAGTCCTTACTACTTCCTCCTGTGAAGATAAATTCCAACTATTCACCACAGAGTTAAAGCAAATTATCGATTGCTATCTTCCGTAAAGGACAGTAGAAGTTCACCAAACAGATCGCCATGACAAACAAACTCAAGATATGGCCAGTCAGAGAACGCCAAACCGCATTCCAAAGACATAGTAAAAACTCGTCCATATATAAACACTGGGGGAATAAAATTCAGGAAGAAAAAAAGGAAGAAAGAAGTGTAGTATCTTGACCTTTCTTCAAATAGCTATAATTATAATTATATTCAATAAAACCATTGCGTTTCTGCCACGTTTACAGTAAACTTTATACATTGGCGACGAGGGGAAAAAAACACGAAATACTGGGAAACTCTCGCAGAAATTGACAAAGATAAGCGAAGCATTTAAAAGTCGGCAGAGCATGGGAAGAATGGATCGAAGATTTCGAAGACGAAATAACATATTTCGAGATACGAGAAATAGGAGGAAAAAATTAGCGCTCTCAAATATATGGCGGACAATACCTGAAAAATTTGGCACGCAGCCTACCAAACCCACACCTATTGAAGCAGATGATGAGTTCAAGAAACTAAAAAGGACATTAAAAAGTCTTTTTGATTTACCCAAGAAAAACGAACACTATGCAAGATATAAGTTTAACCAATAACGAATGGAGTCGAATGAAAGTATCGTCGCGTACGCAGCCAGAATGCGTGAGAAAGCAATTCCAGTGGAGACCAAGATGACGACAGAATTCTAGAACACTTGATCCAAACCATCAAAACATGCAGGGGCTGCGGAAGCATTTCGAAAGTGGAGGAGCATTGGTCAAAAGGGGCACTTTTGTATATGACCAAAATCAAAGGATAGTTTTATATCATTCAAGAGCCGAAAGAAACTTTTTGAAAATATGGAGTCTCAATAACGTCGAAAATGGCCTTACTACTGAAAAAATGGGCACTTCCTTTCCAGCAAAAAAAGGTGTTCAGTCAAGAAATACTTTTCTCGTTTTTAAATGGGGCACTTTAGCCCAGAAAAAGAGCACCTTTTTCAGTTTTTAAAAAAGTGGGGGGCACATGCCCCCATTGTCCCCCGGTTCCGCGGTTCCTGCATCGATCGCAAGACAACGATCTTATTAAGAGATGCATTAAAAAACGATGGAACTTAGAACAGTTTATCGAAGAAGCCAGTCAGCTAGCGCGAAGATATTGGACAACAAATCAAAGATATGAAAGATGACCATAAAGTGGCAAGAATAGGTCAACGAGCAGAAAAACACAAACGAGATTACAAATTAATTCACTGGTGGGAAACAAGCGAAAGCACACAGATCGAACATGCACCAAACGTAATGGGCTACTGCGGAAACTAAACCGACAGTCACAAACCTGGCCAGAATTGCCCAGCGTTCGGGAAACAATGTCTGAACTGTGGCAAGTACAATCACTCGCAACATGAGTACAGAACAGAATTTACAGAAACCGAGACCACCAGGGTGGAAACTCTCTGAAGCACGTTAAGAAAACATCGGATGATCATACAAGCAGCGACTCCGACGACGAATTTATTATTAAATTAGCAGCCAAACAAGTGTCACCCCATGTGAAGAGAGTCCAGGACACTGTATTGATCAGAATAGGGGAGCACACCATGGGGGAAATTACAGACTACGAAAATTGGCGCGAAGTCATCGCAAGACGTGTTTGAATCGTTCGGTTCGATTGCCTCAATCAAAGAGATATGACGTCTCCTCGGCGGAAGGGATGAGAAAGAACATAAAAAAGTTTTGAGAGCTGTCCTTAAACCAGCAATAGACTACGGATTCACGTTCATCAAAGAGAAATGCCAGTTCGAGGAAGAAATTGAATTCTTTGGGCGCACCTTCACCGAGACGGGCTGAAACCATCTCCGGAAAAGGTTAAAGCAGTTAAAGAACCGAAGAGCAAGGAAGAAGTGCGCAGTTTCCTTGGTATGGCTGGCTACCTCGACAACTTTTTTGAGAGCGACGTAACCATTGCAGCTCCATTGTAACAGTTGACGAAAAAAGAGACCAAGTTCTGTTGGGGCAAAGAAGATGAAAATGCGTTCGTGAAGATTAAGAACAGTATCACGAAAGACATAACCATGGCGTGCTTCGACCCCAAGAGGCAGACTATTCTACGCACAGAAACAAATTCAACGAAGGACTAGTCTAGCTGCAGCTAGCTCTACTCCAGAAGACCGACAAAGGCATGCAACCAGTGCACTTTGAGTCAATCCATGACAGAAACAAAGAAAAAATATACAGCCAAACAGAGAAAGATGCATTAGCTATCAAATGGGCCAAGGAGAGAATGAGATCTTCTCTTCTCGGAGCACCGAAATTCCAGATAGTTACCGCACACAAGTCGTTGCTACCTTTGATTAATAAAACCAAAGCAAAGATGCCTCCAAGAATAGAAAAATGGGTGATGGAGATGCAAGACGTAGACTTCGAAGTAATCTACGAGCCAGGAAAGGACGAGGCAGGTCCCTTAGACTACTGTACATTTCGAGACATCCTTTCAGGATACAGGAAACGACGACACAGAGAAAATTGTAAAATGGACAGTAGACAGCGAGCACGCCGTAGTTGTAGGAAGAATACGAGAAGAGACACAGAAAGGCCCAAGGATGCAGAAGATTGCTAAAAGAAATTAAAGAATAGCGAAAGCTGATTGGGAGAAACACAGACGCGATCGAGACATAGAACAACCATTCATACACGTGAAAGATGAGTTATACGTTGCAGAAGGATTATCTTCCGAGAAAAACAGATGCTGAGAGAGAAGTACTGGTTTCCTCTCAGACATCCTTTCCGGATACCGAAAACGACAACACAGAGAAAATTGTCAAATGGGAAGTAGACAGCAAGCACGCCGTAGTTGTAGGAAGAATATGAGAACAGACACAGAAAGACCCAAAGATACAGAAGATTGCTAAAAGAATAGCGAAAGCTGATTGGAAGAAACACAGACGAGATCGAGACATAGAACCATTCATACACGTCAAAGATGAGTTATTTGTTCTTCCAGATTAACAAAAAGGTAAAATACTTTAATTTGTCTAACGTTTCGGTTTCCTAAACGGAAACCATTATCAAAGACTATGAATCTATTAAAAGTTTCCGTTACTATCTTGCGCCAGATGCAACCTTGCGAGATTACTGACGCGTGCGTTCAAGTCGGTCTGCGCGTGCACGTTCACTAGCTATTAGACTACAGTACACGCCTGGCATATCGCGGCAAAAGTTAATGCTGTTGTTTTCGCTCTTGGTATGCCAGCTCTCGAGAAAACATTCTTTCGTTAAAGTTAGTAGCAAATTCTAAGCAAGTAGTTCCTTCCCAATTCATTCGATGTTTTGTTGACAAATGATGAACCGCTATTTTGTTGCTTGTATCTTTATTTGCTACGCTGCGCTTGTGTTCTTTAATTCTGCATTCCAGAGTTCTCCCAGTTTCTCCGACATAGCTTGCAGGGCATTCTGCGCACGGTATTTTGTAAACTGCTCCTGTTCGTGATATAACAGGTGATGGATCTTTTATCTTCGTAAGGACATCCCGCAGCGTCGTTGAAGGTTTGTGGGCGACTGTAATGTTGTGGGGTCTCAAAATCCGTGCAATTCTTTCTGATGTGCCTTTGACGTATGGAATGGTAGCAATGACTTTATCGTCCTCATTCGTGTTGGATGCCTCTGTTGTTGTTCTATTGGCCTGGTCGGTAACGCTGCTTACAAAAGGTTTCGAGTAGTTGTTCACGTCAAATACTTCATTCAAGTGTTTCAATTCTGCTTCGAGATCTTCATTCTTCATTTGAACTGGAAATTACGTGGGCGCTTTTAACTAAGGTTTTAATGGTCGCTGATTTGTGCGAGGCTGGGTGGTATGACGAACCATCTAACAAACGGTCCGTACTAGTAGGTTTCCTGTATACGCTTGTTCTAATGGTGTTGCCCTATCTGGTGACCAAACAGTCCAAGAACGCTAATTGCCCGTTCTTTTCTGGCTCAATTGTAAATTGGATGCTCCGATTCTGCTGATTCAGGTGGTTAAGAAAATAAACTTTTTCGTCTTTCTTCAAACTTGTTATCGTGCCATCAACATATCGATACCAGAATGGTGGTGGGTTGGGATACAAGGTGGGTTGGGTTACGACAACAAGTTTGAAGAAAGACGAAAAAGTTGATTTTCTTAACCACCTTAATCAGCAGAATCCGACCATCCAATTTACAATTGAGCCAGAAAAGAACGGGCAATTAGCGTTCTTGGACTGTTTGGTCACCAGATCGGGCAACACCATTAGAACAAGCGTATACAGGAAACCTACTAGTACGGACCGTTTGTTAGATGATTTGTCATACCACCCAGCCTCGCACAAATCAGCGACCATTAAAACCTTAGTTAAAAGAGCCCACGTAATTTCCAGTTCAAATGAAGATCTCGAAGCAGAATTGAAACACTTGAATGAAGTATTTGACGTGAACAACTACTCGAAACCTTTTGTAAGCAGCGTTACCGAGCAAGCCAATAGAACAACAACAGAGGCATCCAACACGAATGAGGACGATAAAGTCATTGCTACCATTCCATACGTCAAAGGCACATCAGAAAGAATTGCACGGATTTTGAGACCCCACAACATTACAGTCGCCCACAAACCTTCAACGACGCTGCGGGATG